AACTTGTGGTTAGCAGCCCAATGCATACAATCCTATGGGGCAGTTCTATTCTGTCAGATGGGGCCACTCAATGGCACAAAGCAACTTGCAAAGCTATCATAAACATTAAGTCTTGCTGTGGCACTCAGCTTGCTTTTGGCCCTGCTCCTCACCACACAATCTACATTTGTTCTGGAGCATAATAATATAGCCAAGGTAAGAGTGAGGCTGCTTGTTCTAAATATTAAAATCGATGGATTGATTGTCCCGCTCTTAGCCCAGGGTTGGAGGATCAGTAAAAGAAATATATATTAGGGAACGAGACTTAATGAGTGCTGCCTTGGTTTTCTACCCTCCTATCGTCTTGTTCTCCTCTTTTGAAAGCTTGGAGGCATTCCCAGCAGCGTCTTAAAACTTTTTTCCTGATGATTTCAAACACATTGTGGTTGTATACATCTTTAGGCCCCTACACAGGCTTTCACCAAGTTCTTTCTCTAAGGCTCTTTCTCCCTGCCTGCAGCCGGTGGCCCTCCCTGCAGGAGTCCTGCAGGCACTGCAGAACCAGTGGGGCTGCACCTTTCTTTGGCTTCAAACCAGTTTCATTAACAAGCATGTTCACACTTCAACGGGAACATTTCAAGTAACACTCACACAATGTGTTTAGTGTCTAGTTAATTATTAAGGCTCTAAGCTGGAATTATTCAGGCAAAATTGGGTTTAATTTTCCTTATTTCTTTTTGTGTTTTAAAGATTTATTCTATTATCTAAATATTGTGAAAAGGCTTATTTAGCAACCATCAGGACTGTGCTGTGTAGGTGGTACCCAAGTGCTAACAGAATAGGTAGAGACAGGACTGGCAGCATGACTATTAAAAAGTGTATCCGAGTCTCATGTATGTTCACTGTTAATTAGCATTTATTGAGACCTAACCTGTTTTAAGCTCTCTTTCATTCTTCTTTATAGTTATTTACAAGTTCGAAAAAGAACTACCCTGGGGCCAGTTCTTTATACCAAAGAGCTGCACTTGAGAAAGCAGAGGAAGAAATTGCTTCTCTGTTGCTATTCCGCTTCAAGCTCAAATGAAACTGATAAAATGTCTTGGCTTCACTATTTT